AGCCACATTTTCTAACAACAACAACAAAAGAATTGCATTAATTAAAAACAAATAAGATATTGCAAAATTAAAGCTTAATACGGTGAAAAATGTAAATCCCTCAATTTTTAAAAATAATTTGGTAAACTTTATTATCCTATTTATGATAAATAACCATTAATTAATTGGCACTAGAAGGATTTTTTTCTTAACATGATTAAGTTACACACACACACTCACTTAGAAATGCATATACAGCACACAGTTGACATTTGTAATAGTTAAGCAGCAATCACACTAAAGTTTTTACTTGAGTAGTGCCTGTTTACACCAATGTTATTTAGTATTAACTATAGAATAAAACAGTAAATCAGATATGCTGTACCCAAGAAGAAAAGTGTAAGAGAAGAACATAAATATTATTATTTGAAATACAATGATGTGTATCTTGAAAATACCTGATATGGACATATATGTATATGTGTTTATAATATAGAGTTATAGAAAATGAGTTCAGTAAGGTGACTGGTCGACAAATAAGTATAAAAATCAATAACTTTAGTGTGTGCCATTTAGAAAATGCAATGGAAGAATGATACTACTTATGGTACAGTACAGAAAAACACATACATAGAAAAAATTAACAAAAATACATAGGACTGAAAAAAAGAAAATTCTGTCAAACTCCACTAAAATCCAAAGAGCCCTGAAAAATATAAAAAAATAACACTTCTCCAAAGGTGAACTAAGCCAATATAATTCCAAAATTAAATGCAAAGTAACCATTTAATTAATAGTAAAATAAGTCTGAAGTTCACATAGAAAAATAAACATGTGATAGTTGTCTAAAAAAAATATGGTGAGTGAAAAAATGGCTTTGCAAAATATGTATTGCCACAGAGTTACAACATAAGAATTGGTAGAAAAGAGAAACAAATTCTTATGGAAGCTCCTAAATATGCACAGAAATAGTGCAACATTTATGTGCGTGGCAATTTAAGGCAGGAAGGAAAAAGACAAATTATTCTTTAAATGAAGTTCCTACAGCTACCTAACCATTTGTGAAAAAAACACATGTGAGACTCTCCTGGTGTCTCACACAAAAACAAGTTCCAGATGATTCAAAAATTGTAACGGATTAAATAAAAATAAAATGTTACTTGAATTCTGATTTCATGAATTAATTTTAAAAATAGTATTGGAATAGAAAGAACTTATTTATAAATATAATATGTAAATATGAAACAATGAAAGAAAAATAAAATCATCTGGATGGAAAAATATTAGATATATTTTGATCAACTCTAACATTATCTGTCTTTAAATTGGCACTTTAGGCCACTAACATTCAAAGTTTTATTGATAATGTTCAATATCTACCATATTTTGTTACTGTTTTCTATTTGTTGCCCTTATTCCTTGAGGTATTTTTGTCTTTACTATTTTTCTGCCTTTTATTGTTTTAATTTGGGATCTTATATAATAAAAGCCTAATATGCAAATTCACCAAATAGCAGATGGACCAGCAGAATGACCGGTCACTATGACATGCACTGACCACCCCAGGGCAGATGCTCAACACAGGAGCTGCCCCCAGCCTGCAGGCCCAGGCCGGCCAAGGCAGGTGCCAGCAGGGGCCCCCCAATCACCCCGCCAGCAGCCCCGCAGATCGGCCCTGATCGCTGGCCAGGCCTAGGGACCCTACCTGTGCACGAGTGTCATGCACTGGGCCTCTACTCCCATATAATAAAACCCTAATGTGCAAATAGATCAAACAGTAGCCGGTCACTATGATGTGCACTGACCACCAGGAGGAAGACGCTTAATGCAGGAGCTGTCCCCTGGTGGTCAGTGCGCTCCCACAGGGGAAGCACTGCTCAGCCAGAAGCTGAGCTCATGGCTGGCAAGCACAGTGGTGGTGGTGGGAGCCTCTCCTGCTTCTGCTGCAGGTGGGAAGTAAAGAGCGAGGGGTTCCAAACTGAGAGAGGGTGCAGGTCGGGCTGAGGGACCCCCTCCCTCCAGTGCACAAAATTTCATGCACTGGGCCTCTAGTTTTATATTTTTCTCTCCTTTCTTAGCATATCAGTTATAGTTCTTTTTTTTTCTTTTTTACTTTTTTAAGTGGTTGCCATAGAATTTGCAATATACATTTTCAACTAATCCAAGTCCCCTTCCAAACAATACTACATTACTTCACAGGTAGTGTGAATACCTTAGAATAGCAAAGTAATCCCAGTTCCTTCCTCCCGTATCTCCTGTCATTGTTGTCATTCACTTTATGTAAGCATACATAAGTGTGTGTCTATACTATATATGCTATACACATAGCACGCATAGTCTATGTTGGCATTATATTTTGAATGAACTCCTATTACAATTAATAGTAAGAAAAATAAAATGGTTAATGTTTTTATTTTATCTCCCCTTATTCCTTCTTCAGTGTTTTTCCTTCTTTATGAGGATTCGAGATTCTGGCCTGTATCATTTTCCTTCTCTCTAAAGATTTCTGTTAACATTTCCGACAAGGCAGGTGTACTGGCAACAGCTTCCGTCAATATTTGTTTGTCTGAGGAAGTCTTTCTTCCTTCTTTAATTTTGAAGGATAATTTCACAGGGTACAGAAATATATGTTGTTATTTTCCCCTCAACTATTTATTTCAGTTCATTCTCCTCTTGCTTGCATGGCTTCTGAGAAGAAGTCTAGTGTAATTCTGATCTTTGTTCTTTTGTTCTTCTGTCGGTTAGGTGTTTTTGGGCCCCCCCCCCCCCACACACACACACACTACCCTTTGAGTTCTTTCAGGATATTTTTCTTTATCTTTGATTTTCTTTAATTTAAAAATGACATCCCTAGGTATAGTTTGTTGTTGCTTGGCGTTTATCCTGTTTGGTGTTCTTTAAACTTCATGGATAAATGACTTGGTATGACTTGGTATCTGACATTAATTTGGGTAACTTTTCAGTCGTTGTTTCCAGTGCTATTTCTTCTGTTACTTTCCCTCTGTCTTCTCCTTTTGTCATTCCCATTATGTATGTTATACTCTTTTAAGTTGCAGTAATTGGATACTCTGTTCCAAACAGGTTGTTTTTGTTTTTTTTTTTCTATTTGCTTTTGGTTTGAGGCTTCTAATAGTACCTGGTATATAACCTCCAGGTCAGAGCTTATTTCCACAGCTGTATTCAGTCTTCTAATAAGCTCATCAAAGGCGTTCTTTATTTCTGTTACAATGTGTTTATCACTGGCATTTCTTGTTTTGCTCCCTCATAGAATTTCCATCTCTCTGCTTCCATGGCCCATCTGTTCTTGCATACTATTTACTTTTCCTTAGCATATGAATCGCGTCTTAACTTCCCATTCTTATGTCCAACATCCCTGCCATGGCTGGTCCTGAGGCTTGCTCTGTCTCTTCAAGTCGTGCTTTTTGCTGTTTGGTGTGCCTTGCTTGTAATTTTTTCTTGATCGCTGGACATGCTGTGCTGGGTAAAACGAATTGCTGTAAATGGGCCTTTAGTCATGTGAGGATGAGGTGCAGGAGAGAGGGGGGAAGTGTTCTACAGTCTTAAGATCAGGCTTTCGTTGAGCATAGCCTCCGGACTGTGAACTTCACCACACGTTTGCCCTGTTTTCCTCGCCTCTGGTTGACTAGGATGGCTCAGGTGGGCTGCATTTGTGTTCCCCTCTCCCGGCTCAATTAGGCTCTGAGAATAGCCCCGCAGGTGAGGCTCTGGTTAAAGGATTAACTAGTTTCGCCGGAGGACAGACCTTATTAAGACAAACACTGGGCTCTGACCCGTTTGTCAAAATGGCTCCTTTCTCCTTCCCTTACTGGATGTACAAGAGGGTTTTTCTTCGATATTTGATCTCAGAACCGGGTTGAGCTTCTGGGGATAACTCTCCCCAAATTATTGGAGCCCCTATCACTTGGTACCTCCCCTTTGGAGTGTTTAATGCTCAGACTTGTCTGCACTGAGCCTCCAGCAACTTGTCAACCTGCAGCTCAGGTTTTTCTCTCCTGGCGCTGGTTCCCAAGCCCTCTCCACGCCTGGGTCCCTGCTCTGGTAAGCCTCAACTTCCTGTGTTCTCCTGTCTGCCCCTCTAATTTGGGGGGGCTGCGGGGGCGGGGGGAGCAGTTTGCTCTCTGCTTTCTCCCCCCTTATGGATCTAAGAAGAGTTCATTTTTCAGTCTGTTTGACTTTTTACTTGTTAGGATGATGCCTGCAGAACTGGAAAGTAGAAGTGGTAAATTAGATTTCAATGAAATAAACTTAGAAAATGTTTAGGACATTTGTACTTAAAGCTTTAGTAACACAGTAAATAGTTTTTTTTTTTTCCTAAAAACATACAAATTGTTTTAAAAACACTGAATAGTCATTTTGCAATGTAAGAAGTACAAATGATAAATATCTGAAGTTATTAATTGCATTAGTAATCAAGAAAGGCAAATTAGAGTATGGATAATCTATGTGTCACCAGTAAATTTTGAAATACCTTGCAATGCTTCTGAGGATGTTTGAAAATTACCAAATATATTCTGAAGCTATTCTAGCAATTCTCTTTGTGGGAATTATCCTTCCTTCTCCAAAAAGACATAACTAGGAATATATAAACAAAGATGTTCATTTCAACATTGTTTATAATGAAAAAATTAAAGTATATTTTCAGTGGAATGGTCTAACTCTAAGTGGTGCAGCAATGAAATGATGTCAATCATTGGGAGTAAATGAAAAGATAGCTTTCTGTACAATTATGTCAGATAAAATCAAATTATACAGCTGTATGGATATTAGAATCAGAATGCAAATGTTAGGAAACATACACCGAAAATCTATCTTGAACATATTTCTTTTTCCTAAATAAAGTAGTAACATAAGATGGCATAAGCAAATCTTACTGCTAGTGCCTTCTGTGGAGTATGCTAACAGGTGACTAAAGAAATAGACACTTTCAAAGCGTATTATCTGTGTTAGAAATGGAATGGTTTTTACACAGACGATAACCCTGCTTTCTCGCCTCCTGCTAGGGAAGGGTGAGCAGGGGAAACCTTACCCCCTCACTGAAGACGACCACGATGACTCAGCTTACAGGGAAAATGGTTTCAATATTTTTGTCAGCAACAATATCGCTCTGGAGAGGTCTCTGCCCGACATTCGTCATGCTAAGTGAGTATCAGCATGCCAGTGCGGGAGGTGGTTTCTTTTTGTTTAGCTAATTAGTTGTATTATGTTTAAGATGTCACTAATGCTTTTGCCCTAATAATATTATAGAAACTTTTCTATTTCATAGCCTTAAATAGGTCTGCTTTAAATTGGAATGGTCTTTAAAATTCTAAAAGAATAGCGCCTCTAAAACTTAAGACACGTGTTTGTTATTGAGTCCTCTGTATTATTTCCATTAAAAATGAAATGTTTTTAGAAAATACCCATACCATTACATTTGATCACATAGATTATGAAGCAAACAAGTTTTTTTATTTTTTCTTGTGGTTAGTGCTGTCAGAATGTGTGTGTATATGTACTTTCTATTAGCTTCATTCTTACACCCGTCATAGTCAGTGCCATTACAATTACATCTTCCATGAAGAATGCCTGAAATAAATGGACCCATAATTCAAAAGTAATGGCAGTTGCTCAATTTTCTGTCACTTTATGAATTGCTTGTGGCTTGTCAATCGACAGTGAGTTCAGTTTTTACTGAATTAATAGCTAAATGTTATCGTGTTAAAGGGAAACAAGAATAATCCCTCTTCTCTCTGTCCACACCTACCTACTCCTAACATTGCTTAAAGTACATTGCTTTTTCCCCTTAGTTTATTATGGTTTTTCTCGATAGCATACATAATGCCAAAAGTATGCCATAGAATGTGATCAGAATTTGAAGTTGTGGAATTCTACATATTGGAGAAATCTATTCAACTATAATATGTTTAATTCTCCCCCACCTCACTCTTCCTTTGGCACCACTGTTATGACATAAAGAAAATTAGAGAAAATAAAATAAGGGCAACTAATAAAAGTAGGAGTAGGAATTTAAATTAAACTAGTAATGTACAGTAAATAAAACTCTTAATTTTGTGCAAGAATAATTAACCTTTGCAAAAAAAATATGGTTTGGGGCACTACTAGTATTTTATTTGCCCTGTTGTGCCTTGTAAATTCATTTTAAAATATAAAAGAATTACTGGTTTCCCCCTCAGGTTTTATGAGAATGTGCATTTCCCAATATAGTTCAGCAGAGGATTAATATGAAGAACAAATAAATTTTTCCCTAAGCGAAATGCTTCATACACGGGTCTGGGCCTTCCAGCTAGCCAAATTATTCCCAGGCCACCTGAAATTATCTACAGTAATTCCCACTGACCTAGAACATGTCTAGTTATGAGAAATTGTAATACCTAATTGTACACCATCAAAGATGCATTAAATTGCATTGTTGGCATAATAAATATGCTCAGAGAATAATTTCCATCCACCTCCTCTCCCACCCCCACACTTCCAATCTTTGAATGTGCGTTCAAGTGGAAAGAGTTGCAGATGGAGACAATGCGAAAATCACTGAAGTCAAAACACGGTTGATATTCCCATTCTCCTCAGAGACTGTATTTCCAATTTAACTGCCACCTTTCGGAGAAAGATGTTCTTAGGCAATAATGGAAAATGAAATTTCAAAATGGAAAGAAAAATACTTTAGAAATTTTATTAGAATCACCGAGAACAGTATCAGAGGACATTATTATAGATGTCAGGGAATAAAAATGTGGCTACAATATGTTCTGTGACCATATTTTCACTTATTTACTGAGGCTGGGTATCTAGTAGGACAAATAGTCACCTACTAGAATGATACCAACAAAGGAAAAAAAAAAACTTAACTGAGAATGTTGGAGATAGGTGACAACAAGGTGTTAAGTGTGAGATACAAAAATGATATTAACCTGGTTCATCCATTCTTCTGACTCTCAGTGAGGCAGGGAGATCTGAAGTTGCCTCTGATTTTGCCAGGATCCTCCAAGCAGGAATCCAAGAGTCAAATTTGCAGGGACCCCACTGTTTAAAATCCTACACTTTTGACCTCATCTGCGCTTCTCAAAATGCAGGCACACATAACTGTAAGGGTGTGCAGCTCTGTGTAAATGGCACTTGAAATTAAAAAGCAACTTGACACCTATTCCAGTGTTATCAGTTTAATAGGCTGCAGGTGAATGACCACAGCGTGTTTATATGGATGGGCTCATGGAAGAGAATGCAAAATGTATGTGACTTGCAAGTGTTCTCTGGCCATTTATTAATTCACATTCAGTAAAAAAAAGAAAAAAAGAAAAAAATCATAGTTCTAAAAAAGAATCAGTCTTACTTTTTGCAGCAGCATGAATGGACCTCGATGGTTTTAATACTAAGTAAAATAACTTAGAGCAGTGGTTCTCAACCTTGGCTGCACATTAGAATCACCTGGGAATCTTTTTAAAATCCTGATTTCTGGGCCTCATCCTCAGGAAATTCTGTTTCTTTGTTACTAATGTTGTGGCCCCACCCCATAACCAAGAAACAGAATTTGTGGAGGATGAGGCCCAGAAGTCAGGATTTTAAAAAGATTCCCAGGTGATTCTAATGTGCAGCCAAGGTTGAGAACCACTGACTTAGAGAAAAACAAATACCATGTGTTTTCACTTATATGTGGAATCTGAAGAACAAAACAAACGAAAAGAATAGAAACAGACTCATAGACACAGAGAGCATACTGACAGTTGATAGATGGGAGGAGGGTTCGGAGGGCTGGGTGAAAAAGGTAAAGGACTTAGGAAGTACAAATAGTTATAGGATAGCCACAAGGGTGTAAATTATAGGGAGTACAGTCAGTAATCTGCCCTGTAAGTCATGTTTTTAGGTGTTTTGATTTGCTTAGTGCATATTCTAATGAACTGTGAAGAATTTTTAGAATATGAATGATTTCAGAAATTCCAAATCAGAAAGAAATTTTTTTTGTCCTTTCTTCTACACTAGCATTAAATGAACCGCTTTTTTTGGGGGGGGGAGGGTTTATTATATAATTGAATTAGTAATAGATTCCATAAAGTAGGAGCCATAGAAGAAGGGAAGTATGTTGGCCTGTGTGCAATAATTTGATCATCCTAATAATAAATTCCAAGCTTTTCATTAATGTTTTACCAAAATTGGTTGTATTTTTCTCAGCAGTTTTTTCACCTCCCAATTTTGTAAATTACATTTTTGTTTTTCGTACTATTTATGCTTTGGTATTGTCAGATTTTCCACTTCTTTTTCCATAGTATTGGTCCTACATTTCTGGTTGACTTTTGCACATTTTAAAAGATATGTCTACATATTTTAAATACTCCCTTCTTTAGTTACTGCCTGTTTATGTCTATATCCATAGTGCTTGGGCTCAACCTGAGATATGCCCTTAGAACATATTTTCTTTATATTTTATTTAATGTAGTGTTGGTAAGAATTTTGCTATGAGAGCTTCTGCATGGCCAATGTCTAATTAATAGTTATCTGGCTCGTCTGGCTTCATTTTACCAACTTCAGAATTTCCCCACCTGTATATTGATGGTGCGTTGTTTGTTTGTTTGTTTTAGTCATCTGGCATGCTACATCTTTGTATGCTATAAAAGCTCTTATTTTCACCTCCAGCTCAAGATCAGAATTATAAATAGGGAACAGAAAACCATAAAGAATGGAAAGTCTGCAAACTGATAAGGTTATGCATAAATATATTGTTAGCAAGATAAGATTTAAGAATATTTAAGTGTTACGCCATAGATATGAATAAATTAATCAGTAGTAACCACATACTCCTTATAACATGGTATAAATAATATGCATAAGATGAAATTACATCTATGAAAAGAAATGCATGAGATTAGGACACAACAGAGCCATGTGAAAAGGAGAGTTGATGAAGGCTTTTCAGAAGATCCCTGATGCATCAGTAACATCAGGTTAACTTTATTGCTGTTATGAAAGAACACATGTTCATACAGGTCCAGTTGATGCACATGTACATTAATTAATATGCAGTTATGAGGTGGCTTTGTAACTGGGATATTTTTGAATTAAAATAGTTATACTCTGGCCTGGCTGGTGTGGCTCAGTGGTTGAGCATGGATCTATGAACCAGGAGATCACAGTTGATTCCTGGTCAGGGCATATGCCCGGGTTGTGGGCTCAATCACCAGTGGGGGCATGCAGGAGGCAGCAGATCAGTGATTCTCTCTCATCATTGGTTTTTCTATTTCCCTCTCCCTTCCTCTCTGAAATCAATAAAAGATTAAAAAAATTAAATGTTTTACTCTGAATTGTGACTTTTCCCTTTCTTTTTAAATTAAATATATTTTATTGATTTCAGAGAGGAAGAGAGAGGGAGAGAGGGATAGAAACATCAGTGATGAGAGAGAATCATTGATGGGCTGCCCCCTACATTCCCCACATTGGGGATTGAGCCCTCAACCAGGGCATGAGCCCTGACCCCTGATCTCCTGGTTTATGGGTCGAAGCTCAACCATGGAACCATACCGGCTGGGCACAAATGTGCATCTTCCCCCTCTATGCCAAAAACTACACAGAACTTTCGGAGGTGCTAGCTTCCTTTCATATTTTTATTCTGATTTACTTGTGAAGTGATAAAGTATCTTCTTTCACCAAGTTTACAAGTGAATTTTGAAGGAAATTAAGCTAAAATGACTGTCATGTCCTCCTGTCAGGTTTGAATATTATCACAGAGGAAGATGGGAAACATGTCCTTTGAATCAAATGTTCTTCCATCCTAGGGTATGTCTAAATTCAACCAAACAAACAGAATGCAGACTGGTGCAGCCACTGTGGAGAACATCAGAAAAAGATACATATCACATGATCTCACTCATTTGTGGAAAATAACGAACAACAAAAACTGAGGAACCAAATTTAGAACCAGAGACATAGAAGCATCGAACAGACTGTCCAACCTATGAGGGAAGGCGGGGGTGAGGGGGTAAGAGATCAACCAAAGGACTTGTATGCATGCATATGAGCAAAACCAATGGACACGGGTGGGGGGGGAGTTGTGAGGGCAAGTGCTCAGGGGTGCGGGCGGCTGGAGAGAGGTTAATGGGGGAAAAAGGAAATTTATGTAATACTTTTAAACAATAAATAATTTAAGTTTA